CTACGAACATTCAATGAAGATGTATTATACCCTGGACAGACTATGGCTTATATCATGTAATATAAGCTGTCTTGCAATAAGCACTCATACATCTAGTTTTCACTGGAAATCCAATGTATAAGTGCTCATTGCAAGACAGCCTATATTACATGATATAAGCCATAGTCTGTACGGGATATTAATGACACAATCCATGCACTTCTACGCCAAGGGATCAAAATTTCAAACTTTGCTGAATATGAAGAAGAGTGTATTGAACTACAATAATAACATTTATTTGATTGAAAACTGCATTAAGAACAAACTTTAATACCCTGGACAGACTACGGCTTATATCATGTAATATAGGCTGTCTTGCAATGAGCACTCATACATAGGATTTCCAGTGAAAACTAGATGTATGAGTGCTCATTGCAAGACAGCCTATATTACATGATATAAGCCATAGTCTGTCCAGGGTATAATAGTCCATCAAAGTATATGCATCAGAATGTTAAATCAAGATTTAGGACACCATTTTTATGAACGTGCTTTATCGCATTCATTTCGGTGCTTATAGATTGTTATGTATGTATAAGTTGCATTAATTGTAAAAAGCTGAATTTATCCATCTATGGTGTGATCTGACCCTTCTTACATATAACATTGTATAGATCGTATAATGAGATTTAACTCAAGTCAGATTCTGACCACTTCCTTGGGGCACCCGGATAATGTCCGGATGTGACCAAGGTGGCCCTAGAAACTCCATATGACCATGCTTGGCATACACAGTTGTACACACCAACTGCTCATTTGTTAATAACTTTTCACTCAGTTGTTGAAATTTGTTTTTTTTTAAAGTAATTGATAGATTAGGATCATAGTTTACTATACACACTAATCGAGTCAGTACGGTTTTACCGAGTTTTTGAATTGCGGAACTGTTCGGTAAAAGTTTAAAAATCTGTGGAAAATTTATTAATGGGAAAATTTGTTCTGAACTTTGTAGTGTATAGGATTGGAAGTTGGTCACTTGGACAAATATGAGAGATTTAGTTGAGTTGATTCAGTATACGTCTTATCTAGGAAGTCATTATTATGTACCTGCTAATAGATAACTTTTAAATTGGTTACGAATATTATATACAATAAACAAGGTTTAAGTAGTTTATATTTAGCGTATAGTCGACATTGATCGATATAAACAAGTAGGTTGCACGCTTGAATGTGAGCGTGCATTCGGAAGCACGAATATCATGCGTGTCAGGAGGCGAGCGTGCTTTCGAAGACACATAATATCGAGAGGCAGGCTCGGATTCATGAGGGAGTGAGGGAGATAGAGATAGGTTTACGTTTGCTGTGAGAGCAGGCTGGCACCTGCTCAATGATGAGGATGAAACGACGGGAATGCAAACTAATCGTTATTCTGTTGACTATTCTTTGGACGGATGGACGTGTTTGTGTTTCGGTGACAAAACTCGGTCACTACAAACTTGTACATACTTAGTTCTGTTAACCCCATTTAATGATAGAACATAAACTTGGTCAACACAACAATGAAATCGATTCCTTGCGGATAACGGTCATTTGAATTTTTACCGATTTTTCCAGCAATTCAAAAACCTAGTAAAAAAATACTGACCCCTGTAAAAAATAGATATGCAAAGAGTAGGTAAATGTTAACATTTGAATCAACGCCAATAATTTTTTACACGTAAAGTACGAGATGTGCAGCGTTCATTTTTACAACGCAAAAACAAATGCAGTTTATTACTAGAATTAAAATCTACTTGTTTTTACGTATCTATAACAAGCTTAAACTCTATTCTATCTACTGCTTTAAAAAGAACTATGTTACGTCAACTATGTGCGAAGTTATTAGCAAATGAGCAGTTGGTGAGTACAACCAACAATTAAAAGTATGGCTATTCACGATGACTAAATTTTCGTAACGGGACACCATTTCTATTCCATTTCCATTCCATTTCCATTCCATTTCCATTCCATTTCCATTCCATTTCCATTCCATTTCCATTCCATTTCCATTCCATTTCCATTCAATTTCCATTCCATTTCCATTCAATTTCCATTCAATTTCCATTCCATTTCCATTCCATTTCCATTCCATTTCCATTCCATTTCCATTCCATTTCCATTCCATTTCCATTCCATTTCCATTCCATTTCCATTCCATTTCCATTCCATTTCCATTCCATTTCCATTCCATTTCCATTCCATTTCCATTCCATTTCCATTCCATTTCCATTCCATTTCCATTCCATTTCCATTCCATTTCCATTCCATTTCCATTCCATTCATTCCATTTCCATTCCATTTCCATTCCATTTCCATTCCATTTCCATTCCATTTCCATTCCATTTCCATTTTTTTTTTCCTTTGGTTTGTTTTTTCCGTCGATCTTGTTTTCCGTGCTGAGCACCAATGCTACCGACGTGCCAGGAAGGCAGCTCCCACACCTGGACCCTACCTATCGACCCATCAACTCATGAACCGGGGACCAACGGCTTTACTTCCCTTCCGAAGGAAGGCGTGATCAGAGATGTTATGCCTCAGAACATCCCGGCGGCGCCGACTGGGATTGAACCCAGGCCTGCTGAGGTGAGAGGTAATCACGCTTACCACTACACCACCGGCGCCGTTGTTCCATTTCCATTCCATTTCCATTCCATTTCCATTCCATTTCCATTCCATTTCCATTCCATTTCCATTCCATTTCCATTCCATTTCCATTCCATTTCCATTCCATTTCCATTCCATTTCCATTCCATTTCCATTCCATTTCCATTCCATTTCCATTCCATTTCCATTCCATTTCCATTCCATTTCCATTCCATTTCCATTCCATTTCCATTCCATTTCCATTCCATTTCCATTCCATTTCCATTCCATTTCCATTCCATTTCCATTCCATTTCCATTCCATTTCCATTCCATTTCCATTCCATTTCCATTCCATTTCCATTCCATTTCCATTCCATTTCCATTCCATTTCCATTCCATTTCCATTCCATTTCCATTCCATTTCCATTCCATTTCCATTCCATTTCCATTCCATTTCCATTCCATGCCAACGTCTTTGCTGCCCTACGCTCTACTGATTCCACAATCTTGGAATTCACCTCACCGAGACGCACGCCACAAAGCATCTTGGAAGCTCCCGAGCCCTCCGACCCAGTCGAGCCTGCAACGCCAACCTCCACACTTTCACTCTCCGGTGTATCCTGCCATCAAAGTCGTCTCGGCCCTGCGGTCAGAAATGGTGAGGGGGTCTTCCAGTCGGCGTTGCCAGGCAAGTACTTCGATTCGACGTTCCATCCGCCTCCTGATAGTTTCGTGGTTTCCAGCTCATTATCCAGCGATGTCAGCAACAGCGCATGCACATACCCTTGCAGTCAAATTGATCCTAAAAGCGTACATTAGCGGAGCGGAGCGGAGCAAAATTTGCGTTGGAATGAGAGAGACAGCTAGTACTTTTCTCCCTCTCGTACCTTCGCAAAATCTCTCTCCGCGCGTGAAATATCGCTTAGATCTGAATACACCTTTACTACCAAAACGTAAGAGGTTTACGAACGAAGACAACCGAGCTCCGCTTAATGCTTTCAACATGCGACTACGACGTTCTGGTTCTCACCGAAACCTGGTTTCGAGCTGACATTCAGAACTGTGAGCTATCGTCAGATTATCATTTCTTCCGCTGCGACCGTAATCGAGCTACCAGTCAGCTTTCCAGAGGCGGCGGTGTACTTATTGCGATAAAATCCAAGCATTCATGCACATCAGTTTCGCTCGAGAATTGCGACCGTCTGTAGCAAGTGGCTGTGCGCATCACTCTGCAGCACCGCTCGCTATTCATCACCGGAATCTATCTCCGTCCTCTCTCCAGCCCGGATTTATACACGTCTCACACTACGGCACAACATACTATCTTTGAGAGATCTTCGAACGCCGATATCATCTTGACAATGGGCGACTACAACCTTCCGTTTCAGAGTTGGACTTTCGACGAGGACGTGAACGGTTATTTACCATCAAACGCGTCCACTGAACAGGAACTGGCTCTCACGGAACCGATGCTCGCTAGTGGGCTAATCCAAGTCAATTCACTGTCTAATTTGAATGGAAGACCGCTTGACTTAGCCTTCATCAGTGATCCGGATAACGTTAACCTTCTTGAGCCTCCGGTCTCTCTACTGGATATCGATCATCATCATAAGCCATTCATCTTACGACTTGATGCCGACTGCAATCCGCCCATGATATCGGACTGTGATTTGTATCCACCTGAATTGGATTTCAGGCACTGCGATTTCGGCTCGTTGAATAATGAACTGTCCACTATCAATTGGCAACAGATTCTGGATAGTGTTTCTGTCAACGCTATTGCTGACCAATTCTACGACAATCTGTATGAAACACTCTATGCGCGAGTTCCTCTCCGGAGGCGTGTTACGAGGTTAACCTCAGTGCAACCCTGGTGGAGCCCTGAGCTACGTAATTTGCGGAACGTATTGCGTAAGTCGCGCAAATACTATTTCAGTACCAGAACCAACGAGAGCAAAAATAGTCTCCGATTAATCGAAACGAGATACAACGGACTGTTGAAGTCTAGCTATGGGGAGTACGTCCAGCGAACGCAAGCGAATCTGAAGCAGCACCCATCGGCGTTTTGGAAGTTCGTGAAATCACAACGGTCTAGTAATCGTATTCCGGACATAGTTGAGTTTAACGGGATCGCTGCTAGCTCTCCTGTCGATGTTGCTAACTTGTTTGGTTTGCGAGCTTCTTCCAATCAGTTTACAACACAAATTCACCACCTCTAAATCCTTCAAGTTTCGATCGCATCCACGAGTACAACCTGAATATCCCAACGTTGCGCTTCTCACGGCGCACAAACATTCAGCAACTATTTATTTTCGACTTACTGCGTGGCAACATTGATTGTCCACAACTACTACAGGATGTCCCTCTATACGTTCCAGCCCGACACAGTTGAGGAGCTCACAACTTGTCGCTGTGCCGGCTCACCGGACTGATTACGGTTTCAACAATCCATTCGACGCTTGTCTGCGAGCTTTTAACGATACTATCGAGGATTTCGATTTTGTGTTTAGCAAAAGTACTTTAAAAATAGGATTAAGAATATTAGGTAAAGTAGTCTGTACGATTTTTATTTTTTATCGAAGATGAAACAACAAAATAAACAAGTGATTATTGAATGCTCCTGTTTTACTTTCGTATCAGAGAACAAGGAAACGCACGTCTAGTTAGTTCTATGAGCTTTATTGGACTGTCGGTTCTTTTACTCTCTGGGTACAAGGTTGTTATACAATCGGGGAAAGCAAGATCAATGTAAACAAGGTGATACATAAGAAATAACAACTTCTTGATTAATAATATAACATCCCCTTTTCATTATACAAACAAAAGAAAAAAAACTATTTCTCTACAACAAAGTCATCGAATTTCCTTGGTAGTTTTCTTTCACGCTTCGGTCGGCAATTTTGTTTTGGAGTCGTCGATTTGTCCATACGAACCACCTCTGTTGCTGATGAAATCGCCAACTGCTGCTCACCTTGATATGATTCATCTTGAACCTCACGTATTTCGACCTCAGGATCTTTCGACGAAGCAGGCGACGACCTGCCTGGCGTGTCTCTCAAATCATTTTGCACTGCTGCTGCCGTTGTCGGTTTATTGTTGTTTGTTGTTGTTTCGGTTCCAGGATACAAACTTTTGTTCGAAGAAGTTGGGCGAGAACTTGGTTCATTACGCGGCTTGATATGTACCAAATCACGGCGATAGCAGGATCCACCAACATCCACAACGTACGAGCGATCATTTAGCTTCCGATTTACGGTTGCTGGAGTCCAAACTTTACTTGTATCCGGCTGGAGCTGCACATAGACTGGCGAACCCGTTTCCACAGCAGGCAGAGCTCGTGATTTCCGATCGTAGTAGTACTTCATCCTCTTTTTATTTTCCAGGATATCCTCCGGGACGTTTCTTACCACATTGGGGCAATATTTTTCTGCTGCAGCTGGGACACCGCATCTGGTGCTTCGAGAGAAAAGTCTGCTTGCAGGACTGCTGCCGATTTTGTTCGGTATATTTCTCCAATGTAGAAGAACATACCAAAAGCTTTGACCTGCTTCATCTGCTTTCTGGATCAGACGCTTTACTATTTTCACGGCGGCCTCAGCCTTGCCGTTGGCTTGCTGGTGATTCGGAGCGGAAGTAGAGTGCTGGAAGTTCCACGATTTGGCCATTGCCTTCATTTCCTGATTAACAAAGTTGGTTCCGTTGTCTGATATGACTAGCTGGGGAACTCCATGGCGTGCGAAGTTAATCTGACAGGTCTTCACAAGGCAGTGGGCTGACAAGTCCTGCAGTATGTCAACCTCGATGTAGTCGGAATAATGATCGACCGTAACAAGAAAATTTCTGCGTTTGCCCGCGTACTCCGCGAAAAATACGTCCATCGACACGATCTGGAATGGATACACGGGAACTGCAGTACTCTGCATAGGAGGCTTTGCTTGGCTGCTGGCGAACTTAGCACACACGGCGCATTCTTTAACCACATCCACTATCTGTGAGCTCATACTCGGCCAAAATAAGTTCTCCCTTGCTAGTCTCAATGTTGATTCAATCCCGTTGTGACTAGTGTGCACCTTGTCTACCATGGATCGCTGGAGAGAACTAGGAATAACAATCCGATCGTTCCTGAACACTAGACCATCTTGGGTTGAAAGCTCGCTCCTATACTTAAAGTACGTTTTCGCCACTGCTGGAACACGTTCGATTGAATTTGGCCAGCCGTTACAAATATAATCGATGACCTTCACAAGAGCAGGGTCTTCAGCAGTCGCTTCGATGATGGTGCCCAAACAGTTGTCCGACACTCTCAAATAACTGCTTAGATTCCAATCTTCCAATTCGCGGAACACCTTGAAGATATTCACCTTCCGAAACTCCACCGAGGCGCTTGCATCGTCGTATGGTGCTCGGGAAATAGCATCCGCTACGATGTTCTCCTTGCCGGTGACGAATTGAATTTCCAAACTGTAACGTTGTAAGTTCAACAACATGTGCTGCAGTCTTTTAGGTGCGGTAAGTAGAGGCTTTTTAAAGATGTTAATCAACGGTTTGTGATCCGTTCTGATGATCGTTTTAGGATTTCCGACCACCAGCTGATCGAACCTGGTGCAGGCGAACAAAATTGCCAGGAGCTCCTTTTCAATTTGAGCGTAGTTCCGCTCAGTTTTGGTAAGCGTTCGCGAAGCGTATCCGATTATGCCATCCTGCTGAAACACTGCTACACCCAAGCCAAAGGAACTCGCGTCGCATTCGATCATCAACGGCTGACGAACATCATAGTATCGAAGCGTTTTAATGTCCGAAACGAGAGATTTCAATCTTTCGAACTCCTTGTCATGAACGTCACACCACACCCACGGTTCCTTCTCGGATATCAGCTTCCTCAGATTAGTACAACTTGCGCTCAAATTTGGAATGAACCGACTCAAATAAGTGGTCATGCCAATGAAGCGGTGAAGCTCGGCTCGATTCGAGGGGACAGGATAGTGCTTGATTGAAGCAATTTTTGACTCATCTGCTTGTAAGCCCTGGTTTGACAGGACATGACCATAAAATTTAACGGAGGTCTCGCAAAGGGTTAGTTTCGAACGATTTAATTTTACATTATTCTCTCTCAATCGAACGAGTAGGCTCTCGAGATTACGGTTGTGATTTTCTAGTGCCTCTCGAAACGTCCTACCTCGACCATAAATCAACAAGTCGTCAGCCAAGCATTCCACACCGTCTAGGCCCTGGATAATTTCCTGCAGCTTGGTTTGAAAAATTTCGGGAGCCGAAGAAATGCCAAAGGGCAACCTCAGCCACCGATACCGTCCGAATGGGGTCCAGAATGACGTCAATTTACTACTGCGTTCGTCCAACTCCACGTGCCAAAATCCCTTCCGAGCGTCGACAGTAGAAAATACTTGCGCCTGGTCCAACTCCGGCAAAATCTCGTCCAGCGTCACAAACTGAAGGTTCGGGCGCTTCAAAGCCTTATTCAGTGGAATTGGATCCAAGCAGATTCGAAGAGACTCAGAGCCTTTTGGTCCACGTTTAACAAGTAATAAATTACTCACCCATTCGGTGTGGTTGTACTCCCTGGTTATGATGTTATCTTTCTCGAGGTTGTCCAGCTCCACCTTCAAAGGGGCTCGAAGTGCTATAGGCACACGCCGGGGTTGCTGGATCACGGGTGAAACGTTGGTATCGATTTCCAAGCTGACCTTGCCAGGCATTTTCCCGTAGCCGTTGAAAATGTCGCTGTTTCGCTCGACGATCTCCTCAGCCCTAATACGGTACACTTTCAGCATGTCTTGTTCGGTTTCCGACTGCAGCGGTTGGGCGGGAACTACAGCAACCGTGTTGCAAAACTTCACCAGTCCCAGCGTAGTGCATACCTTCAACGACAAAAGTGGTCTATGATCTACTCCAACTACCTGTAGGACCAGTCGATACTTTTTCTCCTTGTGCTTGCAGAGTATTTTCACCTGTCCTAGTACGGGAATGGTACTTCCACCAAAAGCTTGGAGTTTGAAAGGCGATGGAAGAAGCTTGGGGTTGGGGTTGCCTGAAAGCTTGCACAACCAGTCGTGACCAATGAGACTGGTATTAGCTCCTGTATCGAGTTCGCACTTGATCTTCATCCACTTATCGTCGACCTTCAGCTGAATCTCCGCTTGCACATTTCCGCCTTGCTTGGAGTTGTCGAAAATTTTTCCAATTTCACCTTCGATCTCCGACTCCTCTGACCGCTCACTGCATCCATCGTTCGAACTGTCTTCATCCGTACTCCATCCAGCGTTCTTTACTTCCTTGATCCTTCGTGAGCTTCGTCTCGATGATTTTTCCTTCCCAGCACGGCACACTCGTTCGAAGTGGTTCTTTCCACTGCACTTCTTGCATCTCTTGCCGTAAGCTGGACAGGATCCCTTCTTGAAAACGTGCCAGTCACCACAAAATTTACACTTGCGTGACTTAGATACCTTGAGCATGTTTACTTCCACTCGTGGCTCCAACGACAGTGCCTGTGAGTGCTTCGCCGTAATTTCCTCCATTCTGCATAAATCCACTGCCTTCGTCGTCGTGATGTCAGTCATCGTAAGCATTTTTGTCTTGAGGTGCGGCCACTTGCTCGATGTCACGATCTTGAAGGTTAGCATTTCCGTCTCCAACACACCGAACCGGCATGGTTTTGCCAACACCTTCAGACGAGACACAAAGTCGTCAATGCTCTCCGTCGACAGCTGTGCGGAGGTGAAAAATTCTAACCGATCAACGATGACGTTTCGGGTACACACCACTTTTCTCTTGATGGCTTCGAGAACGGTGTCCGAAGTTCGTTTATCCTCCGCAGTGAGTTCAAAATTGAAATACTTTTTTAGCGCAGGAGTTCCAACAATCGATAATAGGAAACTCACTTTCTTGGGATTGTCTGCGTCGGGCCAGTTGTTCATCCCAATCGCTGTCGCATAATTTCGCCAGTTGCTTTCGAAAAAACAAAAATTCTCCTCCATGTCCCCGTCAATGGCAAGAGGTGGAGGAAGCGGAACGTTGGGTGATAGTGCTACTGCGGCAACTTCCTCACCGGGCTGCACTCGCTGATCCCTCATCTGCTTCACAAGCTCGCCGAATAGCTTGTTCTGGTTTTCCAACAGCATTGCTATTTGATCCATTTTGCTTGGATAACCTCACTTTTTTCTGAATGGGTGAACCAACAAAAAACAAAATGACGTCGTGGGGCTTCCGCGTACACTCGTAACGCGCCGCGAGAGGGAAAGTTCTATTCGCTTTCGGTCTTCACCGGTCGGCCTCCACGTAAATCGATTTGTTCCCCGGTCAACTTAAACGATTTCACGATCTGAAACTTTTTTACGAATTTAAACCGCGAGAACTTCTGACACCATGTTTTACTTTCGTATCAGAGAACAAGGAAACGCACGTCTAGTTAGTTCTATGAGCTTTATTGGACTGTCGGTTCTTTTACTCTCTGGGTACAAGGTTGTTATACAATCGGGGATGTCGTGACGCTTTCCGGCCATTTTTAAAATTGCTGTTTGCAGTGAACGTACGACTAATCGCGGTAACTATCGCCAACAGAATGACGAACTCCAATGTTCGTCGGATTATCGGATCACACGAGAGAACCAATATTTATCTGATCGATAGGTCCTCTCTTTCTCACCTTTCTTTCACGACCCGTAACTTCTATACCTTTCTTGCTTCAATGAATCGTAGAGTGTCATACGCTCTCGCTTTCGCTACCTTGCTTGAGAAGCTCTCTCGTGAACCAAGTCCACTACCGCTGATTGTCATGATCGGGTTTCCGCATTTCCCTCTCAACCAACAAGCGCTGACAAATCCCGAATACTCGTTGCTCGTATTAAGCAATAACCATACCCGAGCTCTTTTCCCGATCATTCCCCTTCAATTATACGATCGGTAGCTTTCTTCCGGTAAGGGATAGCGATTCTATACTGACTGACAGCATGAAAGCAGTGCGTTCTTTATAGAGCGGGTTTACACAATAGCATACGCTGAGAAATATTATTACATTATTTTGAATAATTATTTCATTATTTTATTTTCATCGCCCAAATCTACTACAGGGGAAAGCAAGATAAATGTAAACAAGGTGATACATAAGAAATAACAACTTCTTGATTAATAATATAACAGCTCCCCTGCACCAAAATTATGGAGAGTGTGGATATGCACCTTTGTTTACAAACAAATGATGTAGAGCTGCTAATGACGTCCTTATACAATGCTCTGTAGTTCACAGATCCTATCTTTGAAGCTCTTCGAAGTTCGCTGAACTGATATGTTATTTGTCGGATCATTTAAAAGTTCTCCAAGTTTCACACCGTTATTCATAAGATTCTCTCAGAAGACTACTGAAGCTGTGAACCATTTGCTGAGTTAGATTTAACTCGTTGTTAAAAATATTCCGAAAGTTATTTTCTATGTTCGAAAATCCCCGTTGGATCAACCGGTTTTCGAGCCACGGTTGTCAAAATTTAACTTCTTGTCTGTCAGAAATAACCACGCTCGGATAGCAGTGTTAGGCTGTGAACCATTTGCCGAGTTAAATTTAACTCGTGGTTAAAAGTGACATTTCGAAAGTTATTTTCTATGTTCGAAAATCCCTGTGTTGTCGATCAACAGGTTTTCGAGAAGAACTTAGCCAAGGTTGTCAAAATTTAACTTCTTGTCTGTCAGAAGTAACCACGCTCGGATAGCAGGGTTAATTGATAACTTTCCATCTGTCAAATTTTAACCAACAGTTAAAAAATCCGCCAAATGGTTCAGAGCCTGAGAAGTTTTGAGAAATTCAGAGAATTCTTGCAAATTTTAGAAAGAACTTCAGTGAATCGTATTATCGATACAGTTCAAAACCGAAATAACCCAATAGCGACAATCGATTTTACTCTCGTTTTGTTAACGTACAGTATCTGAAGTATCGGAAGTAGTGCACGGTTATCGCACAATGATGCGCTATACAGCGCACTACTTCCGACACTATGTTCAACGTTCATAACAAGGGTGAAGTCTATTGTCATTAGTGGGTTATTCCGGTTTTCAACTGTACCGATTATTGAAACCTCGGAAAGGGTTTTCAGGGGTACATCATGAATGCATGGATAATTTTAGAGTAGTTCAAGTGAACCACAGAGTTGTTAATGGTTCTTCAAATAAGTTTAGGAAATCTTGAAATTGCTTTGAAAATATATATTAATATCGGTGAATTTCAGAAAAAGTCGAGAATAATGAAACCTTAGAAAAGTTTAGGCTACTTTAGAGATTTCCAGAAAACCTAAAAAAATATCAAGGACAATCAGAGAACCTTTGAAAACATGAAATCAATTCTAGTGTCACTTTTCAATAGGTCCTATCTACATTGATCGACTCTCTTCGTGAACTTTCTCTTTAAATCGTCACGGCCGTGTTAAGATATTTCGACACACAGATCGATGGAAGAAGCAACAATCTAGCATCTAAAACGACAAAGACGAAACGGTTTTGAAGCCGAGTTATTTACGAAAGAGAGCGTCGATGAAGAGAAGCGATCAAAAAAAAAATGTTCTATTTGAGAACCGATGTGACAATTCAGAAAACTTAATAAAAGTTAAAAGATGCTCACAGAACGTCAAAAAATCTCAAATTGAGATACTTCTTGTTGGCATTTCCTTACTATAAAGCAGACCCCCTTCACTCTTTGGAATTTATAGAGACAGATAACAGCGCCAAACGGTTTTAGACGAGACAAAGTTGAACTGCTGCGTTGGAAGAAAACACGCACACCAACATCTATGTACGAACCCACACATCTGAGCGGACGGTACAGCGCAAATCAAAACACGAAGCGGTGTCATCACTCATCGTAATCCGGATATAAGGCGGATGGAACGTCGAATCGAAGTACTTGCCTGGCAACGCCGACTGGAAGACCCCCTCACCATTTCTGACCGCAGGGCCGAGACGACTTTGATGGCAGGATACACCGGAGAGTGAAAGTTTGGAGGTTGGCGTTGCAGGCTCGACTGGGTCGGAGGGCTCGGGGGCTTCCAAGATGCTTTGTGGCGTGCGTCTCGGTGAGGTGAATTCCAAGATTTTGGAATCAGTAGAGCGTAGGGCAGCAAAGACGTTGGCATGGAATGGAAATGGAATGGAAATGGATTCAGCTTCGGCTACTCCCGTTTGCGTTTGTTTTCACCGGTGTTGTCAATTACTTCCTACGTTATAAAATAGGAAAGTAATGAGTATTCCAACGTAATTTTTGAATGAAATGCATGCTGCGTTGGACGAAGAATACAGCATATTATATAACGTTTAGCAATGATTTCGATACTTTACATTTGCAGTGGCTGGGGTGTTGGAATAATTCTTTAGAAAGAGGGAAGGGGTTTTTCACATGTTTACTTCTATGCTTATTAAGATTACATATGTTGAAGAACAGCTCCGCATATCATCAATTACTGTTAGAGATTTGCATCTTACTGATACCGGTGGTACATTGGAAACTCTTTCGCTCTAAAGCAAAACATATTACAAGCACATCATGATGTGCGCTTGGATGTGTGATTATCTTCTCAAGTGTTTCTGTTGCGTATAAAGTGGTAATGATTGAAAATCGAAGCAATCACAAACAAGTAAGAATCTTGCTATCGCAATTTAATGATGATGACTTCGAGGATGATATCGTCCTCTTCCCTCGGCTTATCATAAACGTCCGCGTTGACATCTTTCATGCTGACACCTGTCAGTTATTGAGCCCTGGTGGTAAAGTTGGCGGGGAACTCCCAACAGTTTCAATGTGCACTCAACAGATAGCACTGCGATCACATAAGGGTGGTAACTATATGCCTTGTATGAGGAATTGATTAGTGGGATATCTTGTTAATTAGATATCTTTGTATAAAGTTAACCAAACCTTCACTCAGTTCTATTAAGACTTATCAACTTAAGAAAAGACAATCGAGCCTATTTTTTTTAGCAATGCAATACACTTACGTTGTGTTCCATTTGGTGAATTTTCACTTCAATTTGACTGTGTTCCAATATCCAAATCCTTATGTTGTTGATCTCCGATTTTCGAGAAGGTGTTTGTCAAACTTGATTCATGGTTTGTCCGAAATTAGTCTGGTACAATAGCAGGTTAAATTGAAAATTCACCAAATGGAACACAGCCTTAGTACTACACTACGCAAGTACCTAACGTAATAAACACCGTCATGACGCTGAATCGTGAAACATCCCAGTATGTAGCAAAAGGTTAAATTTTGAAATGTGTTTAAAAACCCTTAAGAAATCCACTTTGACACGCTCTTGTTGTTGTCCCTTGTATCCAAGGTTGGCTGTCGTATGCATTCCTTTTACGCCACTCGCTCCGAGCAGTGCTGACCCTTAAACATAATTTTCGATACAACAACAACAACAACAACAATCACATCGGCTTGAAGTTTGATAATTATGCCAAACCTAAACCACAACAAGGTTTGCTCCGAGTGGTCACGTACACACCGCACGCATCTAGTGCGTTGAACATAAATAAACCATGCAAACGTTACGAATAAAACGCATAGCCTACCACCACCTACCACCACTGGTTCCCATTATGCTGCTGCTACATAAGCAGCTACGGAGCAGCATGCTTTGCTTGGCCGCTAGCTATATGGCTGTGTGCTGCGAGGTGACCTCTATGCTGCCTGCTATGATCGTTGAGACCTCTAATTGAAAGCGGCAACATCATGAATTACTCATTAGATAATTTCACATCCCAATTTTTCTTGTTTTTGGTACGCTTCTAAATAAATCGTGCCTGCAGTTAACCCTCTTACTGTTGTTGTTGTTGTTGAGCAATTCCGGTGCCAACGACCTGCGCTGGTCTCTCTATTATCCACCTCACGGTTGTAAAAAGTGGGTAGGTATGTTACAAAAGCCTCCCCTAAAAAGCGATCGCCCCGCGTCGTTGCTTGCTGCCACGAAAAGAGATCGGTCATCGCATGGAGGAAGAAAAGCATAACAAACAGCGAGAGGAGGTAAAAATCGGTTACGAAAGAAAGTGCCACTGACCATCATTTTGTTTTGTGTGTTTGCTGCGCAGAAAAATACACAAACAAAACCGCGAAGGTAGGTGTACCTAAAGCACTCTATAGTATAGTATACTATAGTA